CGATCGCGCGGGGACTCGTCAACTCGACTATACTCTCGATTACGGACAAGATCGGCGATATTTGTTCGTTAAACGACCAGCACGCGACGACTCGGGGCGATTTGGACTTCGGGGTGGTCGTTAGTCACGCAAGCCTGGGGTTGGACTGCAACATTATTCCGAAGGAACCTCAAGTCGAATTTTACGAAAATATTTTCACTGCGGGTTCTGCGACGTTGGTGGGACCCAAACTTAATTCTGAACATCCTGAAGTGGACTACGTAAATATATATATGTATGGGTATTATATATATATTGAGTATATGTATATATCGTAGGGCATTGTAGAGTCTGTTAGAAACTTTTTGGGAACAGTGAATCATGAACGCTCGCATGTTCCAATAACCTGTAACGAGGCCTCGTATACGCTGTTGCGTCTATAGTTTTTATCGTAATTATGAAATTTCAATAAAGGAAATTACGTTCCATATGAAATAAATTTCCTGTACCTCGAGTCCCTTTTATAGGCTCGAGTCCATGGGCAAATTACTTGCGACACTTCTTGCTAGAGGAGCTTACACTTGTGTGTACCCTCCCAATTAATTTGCGCATGTTCGTTTCTAAAAGCGTGTACACCCTAGTAGCACAGAATAATTTCTAAATATTGTTTTTATACTCTTTGCTAAATATCTCAAGCGAGAGATTTTTTAAAATGTAGATTTCATTTGAAGATGTCAAAAATATTTGCTGAAAATCTCAATGGCATATTCAGATTTAACAATTTATAAACATATAATAGAAGTACATTTTTTACTTTAGGATCGTTATCGGACACTTAATTTGGTATCAAGAAACACGAGAAATGTTTGCAATATTTTCGTTCCGCTATTCCATTATAATAGCAAAACAAGTGATTTTGTTTTTATACAGTTTTAAAACGTTTATAATAAATTCGGCAGATAATATTTAAAAAAAATATCTATTATTAAAGTGAAACGAATATTTTTGTACATACTCCCAATTAACTTGCGCATGTTCGTTTCTAAAAGCGTGTACACCCTAGTAGCACAGAATAATTTCTAAATATTGCTTTTATACTCTGCTAAATATCTCAAGCGAGAGATTTTTTAAAATGTAGATTTCATTTGAAGATGTCAAAAATATTTGTTGAAAATCTCAATGGCATATTCAGTTTTAAGAATTTATAAACATATAATAGAAGTACATTTTTGACTTTAGGATCGTTATTGGACACTTAATTTGGTGTCAAGAAACACGAGAAATGTTTGCAATATTTTCGTTCCGCTATTCCATTATAATAGCAAAGCAAGTGATTTTGTTTTTATACAGTTTTAAAACGTTTATAATGTATTCGACAGATAATATTTAAAAAAAATATCTATATTAAAGTGAAACGAATCGTTTTGTACATCTATAAGAAAAAAATTAAGAAAACACATGGAGCTGATATTATACAAATATTATAAAACTAATAGTCTAAAGTAAATGTTTTGTAATAATTTAATATTGCTGCTAAATATTTACAAAATGTACGATATTCGTTAAATATATAGAAAATATAACAAATATTTTGTGCTACTAGGGCACTACCGGCAGGAAGTGTCCGAGAGTAGATCTCGCAAGTGTTATTTGTTCATAGACTAAAGCCTTAAGATTCCTTTCTCTAAACTCGAATAACTTTTTTATTTTTTAAGCAACTTTAATGAAATGTTAAACATAGCATATTGACGCTACAATTTTATTTCTGAAGAAGTAAAAATCACCACTCGATCGGCATGAAGTTGCCGTTGAAGTTCAAATGCAAATGGATAAGTTTCAAACAAAAACACGTTTCCATGCCGAAGGCCCACGGATTCATAACTTTGTTGTAAATAGTCCTAACGCGATAATTTTAGGCCCATTCGATTTCTCGTGAAATTCCGATCGCGATTTATGTGTCGCTCAAAAATGACGTGACATCATAACGACAGAATATTATTTTTTTCAGGAAAGAAAACCTTACACCGTCAATATGGCTCCATAACTTTGTTGTAAATAGTTCTAACGCGATAATTTTAGGCCCATTGGATTTCTCGTGAAATTCCGATCACGATTTATGTGTCGCTCAGAAATGACGTGACATCATAACGACAGAATATTATTTTTTTTAGGAAAGAAAACCTTAGGCCGTCAATATAATGTATTGAAAATTTCTTGAAAATTGGTATAAAAGTCAAAAAAGATTATTCGAGTTTAAAAAAAGGAATTTTAAAAGGGATTGAATTCAAAATTTCAATATTATTACAATGTACGTCTATACGTACATTTGAAGATTGCTTGCGCCCTCTTCCTTCACAAAAGTTTCCTGGAACTTAGTAAGCCCCAGGTTTCATTTTCTGTTAAATTCGGCAAGAGTACCGAGCGAACTTTACCATAGAACTTCCCTAGTAGCATAGAATAGTTTCTAAATATTTCTTTGTCATTTTGCTAAATATCCCAAGCAACAGATTTTTTAAGATTTCTTGTAGATTTCATTCGAAGATATTTGAAATATTTCTCGAAAATCTGAATGACATATTTAGTTCCAATAATTTATAAACATATATAGAAATTATATTTTTTAACCTATGAACATAATAATAATACATTTTTTACTTCACGAATATTATCGGACACTTCATTTGGTATCAAAAAACACGAGAAATTTTTGTAATATTTTCATTCCGCTATTTCATGATAGGAGCAAAACGTGTGATGTTGATTTTAAATATTTTTAAAACGTTTATAACGTATTCGGCAGATAATATTTAAAAAATACTTGTATTAAAATGAAACGAAATGTTTCGTATATCTGGTAGAAAAATATTATGAAAACACATGGAGGTATTATATAAATATTATAGAGATAATATTCTAAAGGAAACGTTTTGCAAATATTTCAAATGTCTGGTAAATATTTACAAAATGTAGGATATTCGTTAAATATATAGAAAATATAGGACAAATATTTTGTGCTACTAGGGTTGATACGCCGAATTGTTTCGAATACCATTGTGCTGTATATCTAATAATACCATTCGAGATTTCAGCCGGAACAAGTGGTACACATAATGCACCCGTATCAACTGACACGGTGATTATGAACCCGTTCCAACGTTTCTGAACCCGTTAAGAGTCCAACGCCGCTAAAATTACTTCGAAATTTCGTGCAGGCCTATATTCGCATCTTTAACGGCACATTAAGGTGCACCCCGTTCGACTTAAGGTTTCTCCAAAACGACGATAGGTTAGTCACGTGCGGGTTAAGCCACGACATTTTCAAAACTCCATAACTTACCCACAATTATCAATCTCGCTGCGAAATCGTTATGGAAAATCTAGCAAGAGTGTACGCGCTTCTGCTTTGGGTAGATGCGAGTACTTCGAAATAACAAAAGAGCCTGGTTAAACTCAATTTGAAATTCTACAGTACTTCCTGTCGGTAACAACACCTCGGACCGGTCCACGAAAGATCTTGGATGAATGGAACCGTTTTTCAAAGATTCAAGAATTAAGTGAATTTAAGTAATAGAATAGAATAGAATAATTTCGTATGAAATATAACACTATTTTTCATTTACTTAAATCGCTTAACCCGTGTACAGCTTGTATCCTCAAAATAATGTTCAATTAGGTGTCGAAAAAAAGTGTAAAGAAAATAGACAGAAAAGCGATCGAAAGTGACGGAAAAATGGGATACGAAAGGTCGATCGTTTCTGAAACTTTTCTCCAAACTGGGTGCACCGAATTGTTTGACGTTTTATCATATGAATATGGGGACCCTAAAGAAGGTCCTAACATCCATGACATTTGATTTTTTATATCCAAATAAAAAAGGTTTATACAAAAAATAAATAAGAATTTGTATGGGGATCAGGACGTCTCCGTATTCATGTGGTAAAATTTCAAACGATTCGGTACGCCCAGTTCAGAGAAAAATTTCATAAACAAGATTTCTGACGTTATTTTCATATCATCTGAAGTTCTAGGACGTCATGTGCGAATTTCGTGCACTGGTATTGCGAGTGGACGCATACACGACTTCGGGCCAATGATGCCGGTGTGCATAATTTGGTTGCCTTTATACAACTGGATCTTGGAAAAGGAATGGTATTTTTTTTTCTAAATTGTCAAGAAGTAAATAATTAAAGTATGCTACAATTCTCCAAGAATCTGGGACTAAGAATTCGAAGAGCCTCATGGACTCGGACGCCCCAATAACCTGGAATCTACAGCTGATCCTGACGCCGAATGTATAAAAATGATTTATATTTAATCTTTTGGCAAGTTTACCTTCCTCGATATTTGAGTAACGTCTAAGGAAAGAAAAAAAAAACAGCCGAATGTGCTTATATTCCACCGTTTCTGCGTAAAAATCAGGGATCGCTAAATTTGCGAGATCGAACATATCGCGGAGCATTCCAACTTTTCACAAGCGTGGTCCACAGAAATAATTCTCCTAGAAAGCGAAAGATTTGAAAGGGACATGGAAAGAATCCCGAAATATATCGACGTAACAGGCGATATTCGAATGCAAGGCGGGCCACTTGGGAGAAAGGCAACCAAGCAGCACCCAAGAGAGCTCTGCATCTGGCAGGCTAGGCGCCACCCCCGAGGGGTTGCACAAGACCGCTGGCCGTTCGTCGAACGCACTCGAATGAATCGTACTCATTGCACGATATCGCACACGCGCACGATTCTCGACCACTCGAGCACCGATCGAGCACCGATCGAAACGCGATGAGCTTTCCGGGCTTTCCTGGGCCGAATGCGCCGCGGACCGATCCCGAAAGGGTCCGAGGACCATCTACCGAAAGCAGCGCACCAATCGACACCCGCGGCGGCCGGTACCGGCAGTGCATCATCAGGAGGCAGGACAAAACTCCTTTTATCCTCGCCTCGGGCAAGCGTCGCAAAAAGCCACGGGCACGCTTTAAAAATACATAGGCAAAAACACAATGGGGCAATGATGTAGTATGTACTCGAGAGTCTTGGCGAGCCGTCAAAGCCGGAATCGTTGCTACGCGTGGAGGTCATTCGTTTCTGATCCAATTCATCCTCGACCTCGGTGCCCGTCGAGGTCGTGTCCTCGGCACTGCCAGTAGTGGCGGTGCTGTGGGTGCTGCCGGCGCTGTCGCTGCTGGCCGAGGGCGTCCTGTCCGTCCTGGGGGGCTTTTTCCGCTCCTTCTTCATCTTAGCTCGTTTCACCTTGGAGAGGTCTCTAGGGGTGGCGGTTAGCAAGGGGGCGGGGGTGGTATAGAAGATCTTCATGAGATCGAGAGGCCTCTGCTTGGGGCTGGTGCGGGGACTCGACCTGGGCGAAAACCTCGGCGAGTTGGGCACGCTGGGTGGCTTCAGGTCCGACTTCGAGCCGTCTTTCGAGCTGTCGAGCTTCTTCTTGGCCAGGGACTTGGTGCTGCTGCCCTTCTTCGGACTGTCGGTCTTCTTGGTAGCGGTCTTTTTGCGTTTCACCACCTTCTTTTTGCGAGACGCCTGGGGGGTCGTCACGGGACTCGGGCAGCGGCTCGGCTCTTGGGATGGGACCGGGGTCACATCTACGTCCAGGTCGTTCAGCGTCGACAAGTTGTCTTGGCCGTTCCACTTGGTCATTTTAAAGTCCGACCACTCGTTGGTCGGGGTGCTCGCTCCATCGTCGACGCTCAATTCCGACGAATCCGGTACGCGGGCACCGCCCGGAGCTGCCTCAACGCTTATAACCGGCAGGGGTGGCTCCGTTGACGGGGTCGAAGGTTCCGTCGAGGGTAACGATGCGTCGGGGGTGGGACAGCTCTCCCGTTTAGATCCTTCCGAGTCCTTCTCGTGGGGTGACCGCGTCACTTCGCCCTCCAATATGGTAGGAAGGGCTTCCTCGAAGGCGTCGGAGTTCAAAGATACTTTCGAGGGTAATTCCGCATCCACCTCCTGTAGCTTCGCGGAGTCACCGATAGGTGGAACCCTGAAGTTCGTTTCGGAGGCCGCAGAAGTCTTCGGCTCCTTGGTTTCCTCTTTCCGCGGAGATGTCGGAACGTCGTCCAAGCGAGATGCTGAAGCGCCGGACGCAGAATTGATATTAATATCAGTCTCTTGATTTTTATCACCTGGTTCCTTGGAAGACCCCGGCGTTGAGCGACTTTTCTCCGCTTCCGACTTATCCGGCGCGATAATATTTACGCTATCTTTGGCTTTTGCTTTCAAAGCCGGATCTTTTGGCGGTGGGGTTCTTGGAGTTTTCGACTGCAAGTTATTCCGAGCCTTTATTTCTCCCCAGAAATCTACGTCAGATGACGTTGACGACGCCGATGACGCCTCGATCCTCTTTTTGATCTTCGGTTCTGCAACCGGCGGGGCAGTAGCTCCACCGAGGTGGCTTTTGCTACTGATCGAGTCTTTCGCAGCTGTCGGTAGCCTTGCCGCGTCTTTAACAACTTTTGGGATGATACCGTTTTCGTCCGATGAGTTAAGCAGAGGCGCGGAGTGTACCTCGACTTTCGAAACTTCGCCGTTCACTTTTTGGGCGATTTCCAAAGTCAAGTTCGGCTTCGCCTTGGCGGTCTTCTGCTCACTTTCGGTGCTCTTCGAAATCGTCTCGACAGCTGGAGAGGAGGGTGTCGACGAGACGCTGCCTTTCTCCAAATTTCTCTTCAGAGCTTTCGTGAAACTCGTCTCCTTCGTCAAAAGCTTCTGCGAACATTTAGAGTCGGTATCGGCCGATAGCATATTATCGGAGGATTTCGTGGACTCGATGGCACCATTTTTCAACGGACTTTTCCCATCTTTCTCTAGATTTGTTCCCTCGATTCTCTGGATGTTCATTTGGCCGCCGTCGTCCAAAATATCCTTCACTTCCGGAGCTTTAGGTTTCCGATCTCTCGCCCCGACGTCTTTTGGGCAGCTCTTCGTGTCTCTCGATTTCCCACCTTGTTCCGAATCCTCTCCCGTCACTTTGACGTCTCCCGACTCCGCTTTATCGCTCTTCGTCAAGTGGCCGTTTAAAAATCCTGTCAAGCTTCTCGCCTTCACCGTGGCTCGTCTTTCTTCTATTTTCCCGCTTTCCTTTCGACCGCTCGAAAGATTTTTCGAATCGGGAGAGGCGACTATCTCGTCGGCATCGGCGTCCTTATTCGGCCGGTGGCCGAGTGGCTTCGGCCAACTCGAGGCTTCTTCTCGAAGAGGTTCCTGAACTCTGGTCGCTTCTTCCTTATTGCTTGGCTCGCGGCTCCGCTCCAGTAAGCTCGAGTCGAGCTTCCCGCTATCTCCCTCGCTAGCCGATCCGAGGGCCAGAGCTTTAGCCGCGGTCTTTATCTCCTTCTCGTCCAAGACTCCCTTCCTCCGTTCATCCTCGTTGCTCTTCGGCTCCGGAGCTTGCACTCGCGAACATTCGTCAAGCTTCCCGATGTTCGGGCCGCTGCCTGGAGATTTCGCAGCTTCCCGTGTACCTTTTCCCCTCACGGTTCTCCCCTCCCTCGCCTTCTGGCCCGATTGGTCGGGCAAGAAGGGACCGGGCGGGAGATTGGAAATGCTTTTGCTCGCCGGCAAGCTTTCGGCTTTATCTTTAGCCGTGATCTTGGCAAGTTTCGCACCGTCTTGTAGCTCCATCGGTTCGCCGGCATTGCCAACCTCCCGTGATTTATCGTTCTCTCTCCCTCCGTCGCATCCTCCCTCGACTCGGGAGCTCGGCTTGAGAGTCAGGTACACGCTGTTCCTGGCTGCGTCCTTCACGTAGGGCTTCCTGATCGGCAGGACGACCGTCTCGACCTGGATCGGGGCCGCGGGTTCCGGAGTCTTCGGGAAGCTCCTCGGGGCGGGCAACTTGACGCTTTCCCTGAATTGCTCTACAACAGATTCACCTGCGTTATCCGGGGAAGAAGCGTTAATCCACAGGGTGGAGAAGTCGCCTACGCTATTGCAAGCCTCTACCTTGAACACCAGGGTCCTGGCCCGCCCATCGGAGCCCTTCCGGTCCCCATCTACGTCGCGCCCAAAAAGCTCCCCGTCGGTCTTAGACTTAACGATCTTACCGTCGGCCTCAGGCATCTCGACGAGCCCGGTGGACGACGGTCTCTCCGAGGCCTTCTTCTTCTTCTTGACCTTCTTCAGGGTCCTTTTCGCCCTGTCGCTCTCTTCGTCCTCCTCCTGGATCGCGCTGCCGTCGCTCTTGGGGGGCTCCGGCGAGGAGCCCCCCACCAGGTTCCTGGCCGTGCTCTTCGCGATCAACGTCCCCTTTCTGGTCTCGTCCTCGATCTCCGCCAGCTCCTCCGCCAACAGGTCGTCCAGCACCTCCACCTGCGCCTGCGCGAGCATGATCTCTCGCTGCAGCTCTTCAGGGTCCATCGAGGCCGAGGATCTTCTCCTGGTGAAGCGCCTCGTTACTCGTTTCTGCGTCGCTATCAGGGCCTCTCCGGGGTGGCCTCCTCTATCCAGACTGACCTGGTGGAACATCTTCAGCCTGGGCTCGGGGTCCTTGCCCTTCTGCTTTTCCTTGATCAGGAACTTCTCCACGAGCAGCTCGCCCACCGTCTTCTCGTGTTTCTCGTTGTGCTCGCGCAGCGTCGGGTTGTCCTTCAGGGCCTGCGATCGGATCCTCACCGTCGGCCGGTCTCGGCGGAGTCGGTGCCGACTGTGGCCGTGCCCCTGGGACGGGATCCTGGGCGTCGATACGTCGATGTCGGCGGTGTCGATCCACTTCGGACGGGCGCGGATCACCGACGGGGAGTACCGCCGCAGGGTGCTCAGCGGCGACTCCGAGATCGTCGACAGGTGCGGCGAGTAGCGCGACGTTAACGGCACGTGAAGACTTCTAGAAGAAATTCTGTTCCTTTATCGGGATTTCGGGATCGGTGGTCGAGGGAGTGCTGCGAAGCGGGACTTTTCTCCTGATATTTTGGCGCCTTGTTCCCTAGCGGCCCTCCCAGGACTTCTCTACTTTCGCGGGATTTATTTTAAGCTTTTCTTGCATTTCTTCTCTCGAGGGTAGCTCGGCATACTTAAGAGTCGTGGAAGCAAGTCAGAGGTTAGTGGCGAATTGCATGGACACTTTTCGTTACTCAGAGCGTGTTCATTTATTCTCCAGTGATGCATTTCGTCAGGAAGGGTCGGTCTCTGTTTTCGGTAACCGTGGATCCTGAGCCGGATCAACTCGCGAAGATTACCTGGTACGATAATTTTCAAGGATACGTCAATACGGATCGTAGAATGATTTTAAATTTAGATATCATTTAGCAACGAATTCTTCCAGGAGAGCGAATGGAACGCGTAAAGGGTGGAAATGAGAATAAATATGCTGGGTGTGGCACGTGAAACGGTCAAATACATGTAGTGTCAGTGCCCTGTGCGGTCCAATAAAGTTAATAGAATAAAAAAAAAGATGAAAGCGTTTAGCTATACGAATAGTTGTGTCGCCGATAAGGCAATAAAGATTAAGAATAAGACTAAATAGAAGTTAGAGTGAAATGTAATGTTTGTATGATTGTGGGGTGAAATGAGAAGTATTTAGATTAAATGACAGCTCGATAGGTGATACTGTTTATGCGCGGTTAAGGTGAAGTGAAACACGTCGAGGAACTTGATCGACGTTGATCAAGAAGATTTTTATAAATGTCTACGTTGCCGACGTTCATTTTCATACTGACAGCTGTGTCGAATTATATTGTGTATTGTACCAAATGGCATACTCCACCTGTCGTTTTCGTACAATAATTATAAAGAAATCGAAGTAAAACTCCAGAAATCCTTTGGGTTCATGCTTTCTGGGGCTCTAATTGACTGCAGAGGGACTCCCTGCGCCATCTGTGATTTCCAAGTGAATTAAATTTTCACTCCGAAACCTCGTATTCCCATCGTTTTGGCATAGAAGCGCATACAACACTTTTTTTTGCCTTTTCCCGTTCAAATGCGAGTTTATCGATTACCAGAGTGTTCTAAATTGTCGTAAAATTGTCCTGACCCTTTCGTTTCTCATATCAGAGCCTTCGATAATTGTATATTGAACGAAATATGAGAGCTCGACGCCATTTTGGTTCTGGTCTGGGCTGAGTTTAAAAATTTGGTTAAAAAATCCAAATTTTGAATGTGTCAGGACAATTCTTAGATGATCAGGAGTGACGTGTCAATGTTTCGGACAGTTTGGTCTAATACCCTTAAAAAAAAAGTGTTGTATTCGAATCGACTAATTTGAAGGGAGTTTCACTTCACCTTAAGAGTTCGTGAAGTGCGAGCGGCCGTATGACTCAGTGAGTGAGAATTTCGGCGCACAAAGAAATGTATTGATGAGTGTGGGAATGAGAGAGTGAGGAATATGAATTAAGTGAGAAAGAAATTAGAGTGAGACTGTATGAGAATTATCGAATGGGAGTTAGTTCTGATTGAGGAGAGCTCGAGCGAAGTCGGAGGGAAAATCAAGTCCCTTTTTCTGAGATCTTTAAGACGTACTCTTCAACGTATTCAATTTCTTTATATTAATTTTTTTATTAATAAATCAACCGTTCATGTTAATCCTGACACTTGAAATTTGATCCTACATACAGCCGAAAACTTCGTCGACGACGAGACGGGAACTTAGGGCATCAAGGAACCTTTTAAATGGTCCGTTACTCAGAAAATTATATCAAATTGATTAACTACTTCCGTCGATTCCAGACACGATACTACACCCTTCTACCCAACTGGGTAAAATATCCCTAGTAGCACAAAATATCTGTCCTATATTTTCTATATATTTAACGAATATCGTCCATTTTGTAAATATTTAGCAGACATTTGAAATATTTGCAAAACGTTTCCTTTAGAATATTATCTCTATAATATTTATATAATACCTCCATGTGTTTTCATAATATTTTTCTACCAGATATACAAAACATTTCGTTTCATTTTAATACAAGTATTTTTTAAATATTATCTGCCGAATACATTATAAACGTTTTAAAAATATTTAAAATCAAAATCACACGTTTTGCTCCCATAATGAAATAGCGGAACGAAAATATTAGAAAAATTTCTCGTGTTTTTTGATACCAAATGAAGTGTCCGATAATAGTCGTGAAGTAAAAAATGTATTTTTATTATGTTAATAAGTTAAAAAATATAATTTCTCTATATGTTTATAAATTATTGAAACTAAATATGTCATTGAGATTTTCAAGAAATATTTCAAACATCTTCGAATGAAATCTACAAGAAATCTTAAAAAATCTGTCGTTTGAGATATTCAGCAAAGATTACAAAGAAATATTTAGAAATTATTCTATGCTACTAGGGATGCTATTTTAAAACTGCACGTATACGTATGTAAAGTCGTATTAGAATTGCTCGTTAGAATTTCATTCCCGTTACCTCGACAACGCGGATGTAAAACCTCGATTTTGTTGTACGCGTTTACACCGAGTTCCCACATAGGTAAACGGCAGGTAAATGACGCCTCATTCGTTCGGCCACTAAAACTGTCTCAACAATATTGCGCAGTTTAATGATATTGATGCACCTTGGGCAGCGGTGATAAGTGGCGGAGGAAACGACGCCCATTAAAACATGGCGGATAATTACTGGCCCCTCCGAGAGCCTCTCTCTATATATACGAAATGGAATTTCAGCTTTCGGCTGCCCGGAAACGAGCACCGAAGTACCACGAGTGCATTCGGGAGGAGCTCTCCGGTTGGTCGAGATGCGCGGCTGTTACCATTCCTGTGCCACTGTAACACGATACCGCGATTCGTCTCGATAAGGCACGCCGCTTCCAAAGGAAACCATTCATCTTTCAACCAGCGTCGACCGACCGAAATGGTTCCGTGGAAAGGATCAGTTTCACAGAAACGTGAAAAAGGAGAAAGAGCAAAACTGAAATGGCTAAAATACGCGAAAACAAGGCCGACAAGAAGAAACTTGGATCAAACGCGCATTAAACGAGATTAAAATGTCTGAAACATGTACTCGAGAGAAAGAATACGGAAGAGATAAAAATCACTTTAAAATGTAGGCGGAAAACAAAACTCAAAATGGATAGTATATACGGAGAAAATAATTTGAAAGGAATATATTTGGCTTAAACAGGCATGTAACGAGATTAAGATGCCTGAAACGAATACTCGATAGAGAGAATATGGAAGAGATAAATATCGCTTTAAAATGTAGGCGGAAAAAAAAAACTCAAAATGGATAAAATATGCGGAAAAATAATTTGAAAAGAATAAACTTGGCTCAAACACGCATTAAAGGAGATTAAAATGTCTGAAACGAATACTCGAAAGAGAGAATACGAAAGAGATAAATATTACTTTAAAATGTAGGCGGAAAAACAACTCAAAATGGATAAAATATGCGGAAAAATAATTTGAAAAGAATAAACTTGGCTCAAACACGCATTAAAGGAGATTAAAATGTCTGAAACGAATACTCGAAAGAGAGGATACGAAAGAGATAAATATTACTTTAAAATGTAGGCGGAAAAACAACTCAAAATGGATAGAATATACGGAGAAAATAATTTGAAAGGAATAAATTTGGCTCAAACGCGCATTAAACGAGATTAAGATGTCTGAAACGAATAGTCGAGAGAAAGAATACGGAAGAGATAAATATCACTTTAAAATGTAGGCGGAAAACAAAACTCAGAATGTATAGAATATACGGAAAAATAATTTCAATGGAATATATTTGGCTTAAACAGGCATGTAACGAGATTAAGATGCCTGAAACGAATACTCGATAGAGAGAATATGGAAGAGATAAATATCACTTTAAAACGTAGGCGGAAAAAAAAACTCAAAATGGATAGAATATACGGAGAAAATAATTTAAAACGAGATTAAAATGTCTGAAACGAATACTCGAAAGAGAGAATATGGAAGAGATAAATATCACTTTAAAATGTAGGCGGAAAAAAAACTCAAAATGGATAGAATATACGGAGAAAATAATTTGAAAGGAATAAACTTGGCTTAAACACGTATGAAACGAGAATACGAAATTACAATGGAAAATGTACACGAAAGAAAAAAGATGGAAGGGGTAAGTACCATTAAAATATGAAAACAGAAATCGAAACTCAAAATGCTGTATATACCAAAAAAATAGAAAAAGAACGCTTAATCACGTAATCGCCATGTAAAATACGTCATTTAAATACGTCAAGAGAGTGTAGGTAACTAAACGCAGCTAATATATGCGAAAAAATAACGCGGAAAGAGCCTAAGAGAGAAAGAGATTTCTGTTCCCGATCGAAACGAATATTTTCTCGGTAGAATTATTGAACAGGAAAAACTTTTTCTTCTCGCACGCGAGAAGTGAAAGAATCTCGTGTGACGTCTTTTGGAATTTATTGTTGAAGGCTGCCAAAAATATGAAAGGCCGACGATATTAATGCTGGAAACATGTCGTGACCTAAGGTCGAAACAGAACGCACTAAAATGAGCATTGTCTCGGTACGATTTATACATCACGATCGTAACAAAACAAAATGACTTAATTAAATATAAATGAATGAAAGAATTGAAGAATTACGCGCAGAAGTTGAAAAACGATTAAAAATTTCATTTCCGAAGCTGCATGGAGCATTTCTAAGCAATTTTAAAATTCGGAACGTTTGAATTGCGACGTCGTATAAGTTGTCGTATTTGAAAATAAAAAAGATTCCTAACCTTAGGATGACGATATGGGTTAGCTGTTATTTTCTCGTGTCAGTTCGTTCTCGTCGTGACCGGTGCCAAAAAAACATCAGTCCGATATAGCACAAAATCCGCGAGAAGCGCGTTATAGGTAACGGGGTAAACATTCTTGATACAAGACGCGATAGTGTCCCGTTCAATAAAACCCCTATTTACTTAAAAATTCGAAAAAAATCGAGGAAAATACGGATATACAAAAAGATCACGCCGAACTCCACTAAGAAAACGATAAAACTTAAAAAAAAACGTTGAAAAACGTACGATACATTCTTCCCCCATTTATAAAACCGTTTAATCCGAAGGGCGCGGATTTCCCCTGTTACTTGCGTTCCAGGATGAATGTCGATTCCAGAACAAAGCTCGCGGTCCTCGACATCGATAAAAAAAAAGACGTTAAGGGAGATACGTGTAAATATTGCCGATGCAAGCCACTCCAGAATATGGTAAAAAAAAAACAAAGTAATTACTTAAAAATCCAAGAAAAGCACGCGGGATATAAATACCAAGAGCACGCAAAGCTCCGTTGGTCGTCGAGACGACAACAAAGCTAGTCGTTAAACTCGTTAGAAGGAAAGAAATCGAAACGTTTAAAGATCTTGAAAGGGTCCTTTTCATATTTTCACGAAGGTCCGACGAGGGAGGCAAGATGCTCCGGCTCGAGCGGTAAAGCCGCAAAAGCAGAAGGAACGAAAGCTCGCGAAGGGGAAGTCGCCGGTGCTCGGGCCGAGCTCCGGTGTCGCGTCAGTTCGGTGCCAAAAAAATAAGGGCCTCTCTCTCTCCGTTCGGGGAGGGGTATCAGCGGGTCGGGGCACCGAAAATCACGAGAAAAGTCCGGGGCGAGGAGCGCGTCGAGGGGTGCTCGAGGGGGCGATCGGGGTTCCTGGCCCTGGGAAGCTCTCACCGAAGTCCGCCTTAGGGGAGAAGGGAAGGAAAGCCCAAGCCCAAGCCCGAGCTCGAGCCGGCGTTGGTCTCCCGTGGTCGCGAGCCCTTTGCGAAAGCCTGGGTCGTCGAGCAGAAGCGGAAGAAGCTCGGGCAAAAGCGGCAGTGGCCTCGTCGTCTCTTACCGCCCGACGCCCGTCATCAGGGAGCTGTGATTGGCGAACGGGGACCCGCCGTAGAAGTACGGGCTCCCGTCCCCGTAGAAGGGCATCCTGGGGCGGGCCGGTCCCTCTTCCGGGACACCCTGGAGGACCTGGGCCGATTTCTCCGCGCGCCGCTCTTCCTCGGACGGCTGCGGCTCAGGTGCGAAGGAGCGTTCTCACGGTTCAGGGAGCCAAGACCGACTGAGTTTAAGCCAGCGACCCAGGGTAATAATAGAATTCTAGTATATGAGGCTTCTAGCGTCTAACTATACGACTAGACTCTAATAACCCAACGACTACGAGTAATTGCAACACCGGGAATGCACCGGAGACGTGCGCGCATGCTGCCTGGGTCCCGCGACCCCACGTGCGGGTAAATCATAGCTGCGTGCCTGCGGGAGCGTTACGTTACGTTATGGGGACGGAGGCACGCCCTCGTGCTCTCGTCGTCGTGTGCCGTCGTGTGCCGTCGTGTGACGCCGCGTGACGTCGCGTGACGCCGGGTGCCGTCGCCCGGCTCGCTCGGGCGCGGAACGCGGATTCGGGCGCCACCCGGTGGGACGCCGTTGCACGAGTCCTCGCGCGATTCCGACCTCGTAGCGTTTTCGGCTGGGCTACACCTGCTTACCTGGGGTTGCACCGAACGCTGGACAGGTCTTTCGCGGATGCAGCCCTCCCGGTCGAGCAAAGAACTTTTAGAAACGATATTTGCCAAAAATGGGAAATTCCAAGCTTTGAAATTTCCCGTCAATGACGTCACGGTTCTCGTTAATCGTCGCGAGCGTTTTTCATTCGGCGCCGTTGACTTCGTTTGAAGAACTTAAAATATCCAAGATAATTTATAACTATTCGCGTTGGTTGTTCTTGGGTGCTGCCATGTTTCGCTATTGTCACCCTTGTTCTCTGCACCGGTGGTTAAAATGTAACGAATCGAGCCGAAGACGATACCCTGACCAGTCGAACGCGTCCAGTTGTTATATATACCCTAGTGGAGGTCGGTGTAACCAGCTGAAAACGCTATTCAATTCTGGAAGAGTGCACGAACACATGGTCCGAGATCGTAAACTCGAGAGGAAAGAGGTACGTTTATTCATACGTCGAACAGTTGTATCGCAGATATCGCCGTGATTTTCAAACACATTTACACGACTTTGGAACGATAGCCCTGCTGCGTGGGACTTCTGTTCGCACGTAGACCCGGATACAACGTATAAACTGGAAGAATGATCAATTTTCTGGCATGATAGATGCATGCTCGTTACTTTTTAACTCTGAAGGAGGATGAATTTCTTTGCCGAAAGACGGACAGATTTGAAAATTAGAGACATAGGAAAAGAAAGAAGATAATGGAATTAAATCGGCGATAAGCTCTCAGCTTGAATCGAAGTGCTATACGACGAATGTTCTTATCATTAAAATATGAACAGACTAGAATGTAAATCCCGTAGTTCGGCGGTTTTCGAGGTATTTAATGAAACATTATTTGCAACAATAATTTCTCTTTACCGAGGCGATTTCATAGATTTAGTTATAAAAGTTGTTTATCTTATAGATGGTCAGCACTTTTGTGAAAAAAAAACCGCAGTAAGGATGCACAAATATAAAATGTAGAGTACACGTTGCGACTCATTTGCTCTAAGAAAGAATTCTCCACTTTTCAACATTTCCTTGAATAATGGTACCACTATTGGATTTGATTAATAAGTAATTACATTATTGGTTGTTTTGAAATATACCATGGTTCTAAGACAACCCAAGGTATACCTAATGGTCGAGAACGTGATAAAACATTGAATCGTAATTTGCATTAAGATGCGTCAGATATTTATTAAATATATTACCATTTAAAAGTATTTCCCCACTCATATTTTCGTAATTTTATGTTTTTATAAGCAATTTATAGGTAATTATTCAATTTATTGGGTGTGTTCATACTTTCGAGCGATAGCATATGTAAGATCTAGCTGACGGAACATTCGGAATGAATTACATAACAAATTATCGATTTATTGGAAACGGACTTGCTAACAATTCGAAATACAACCAGATAAGAGATATCAATATTCTTGGCTGTCCGATATCTCTAGGGAATTAACTTAAAAAGTTTTAATCCAAGACAACTAAAAGTATTGTAAATCAAATTTAACAGTGGTACCAGAATTTCAATTCACAGAAAAAAAAAGCGCAAAAGTTTGAATTTTCCCAGCTCAAATGAGACACAATATATTCATGTATTATTTTTACAAAAGTCCTGTCTGTCCAAATATTATGAATAATGAATTTTTTAGAATTAAATTGCAACAATTAATTTGGAAAAAGAAACTTTCATGTAATTACATTTCATTCAATTATTGAGAACAGAGCTGTTTTCCGGTAATTATGTTGCATCTAAATAATACGTAGATGCTGTAGACATATATACTTGATAACACTTCAATTCGTGCTGAAACATTTTTATCTATCTTATTGTACTATACTTTTACATTTCTGACGTTGACTTTACTTTAAAGCATGTACTGCAGAGAAACGATAATTTTCAATTCAAAAGATGGATTTAAGCCATCAACGCTACCTTCACTTTGTAGTTTAAGCGTGTTTTCTCATTTTAACACAATTTCATGCCGTTAACTTTATCGATCGTTATGAGACTGGTCAAAATTTACGATCGATTGCTGCAACATTTTACGATCGGCGAAATTCACAATGTGAGCACTAAACGAGATGCTTTGTAGATTTACATATCCGTAGTGCACATCGTCCAGTAGTCGTTGATATTTAATAATATTAAATGAAATATTAAATTTCCTTACTTACCATCGCACCTTAAACCCTGCCTGAACAATCCATAGAGTAGAGAACCGCAATGATCGCAAAACGTTGGAGACATAAAAGTGTGCGTACGAAATCTATGTGGGACATCGACCTTGAATCGTTCCCGTAAGTACTGTAATCAATAACATTTTAAAAGATATTAGTACTTCATTTTTATCACTGCTCGGTAAAACAGACATTCGACATATCAATAATATGCTTCAATATAATTATAATTTCTTTTTCATTCTCATGCTTAAAATATGCTTGTTTAATGATTAAAAGCGCTCATAAAATAACGGATAAATACGGGAAAAAATGATGATCGCGCAATTGACGACGAAGTGATAAGTACAAGTTACTCCAATTATTCTAATATGCTTACGTGTATTCTAATTCAGAGAAATGATTACGTGCCTACATACTACGCGCCATTAAACCTTCTCGTCTCTGGATAAAGTGGATTCAATAAAAGGTATGTCGCGAAATTTGAGAAATAATTGCATAATCTTACAGTAGAAAGCTGCTCCTATCATTAAAATTAATAAATTTATACTGGTATAATACAACGTGATTAAAAGAAAAGTTAAAAAGGATCACTTTAAGGCTTATTTCAGTTTCTTAAGTCAATTTGTTTACAGATTTGTTATGAATATATCAATGGGAACTGACTCGGTATGTTTGCAAATATTGTTAATAAAAAATAACGTTGTATCCTATACTGTGTAAACAGTTTTCATTTCCACGTATTAAGTCTTCTACGCTATATTCAGAAAAGAAAGCGATTTGTAAAAGTTTAGTATGAAAGATCTCACAAAACTCGCATATCTTTCATTTGAGCCACCTCAACTTCCGGGACAAATAAATAAATCCGTCACCATTACAATTTTGATGGTATCTAGAAAAGGTGTCTTACTTAAGCAGTAATTTGCCAATGTACAATTAACCATACAATTTAAACGAAGAAGTCATTTACGTTTTAGAGAAATTAAAAGACCGCATATATAATTCTTAGAAAAAGCGTCCTCTTCGGTGAAAGCATTATTTGTATTTTAAGATAAAATATTCTTTAAAGCCTCTCGGTGGTTTCTTTCGGAAAATCGGAGAGCACCGGAAGCAACGTAGACAACAGGTTGCGTCCTATAAATCTGTCCAGCTGGAACCGAGGAATAATAATAATAGTAAGAGGGAGCATCGAATTTATGTGTCCGAGAAGAAGAGGGAATTTCTACGTCATGCCTGCGACAGCTCTATCAACATTAATAATACCATGCCGCGTGTGCGCAAGCTACTTACGATTGTGTTTTCCGATTCTCTGCCGCTCTCTGGACACTTTGTTAACAGTTTGTCATGACATTTCTTATGCACCGCAGTCTGGCACGCTGGAAAACAAAATCTTCTATTAAATTATTATAACGGTAAAGGATTACACAACTATACTCGTAGTAAAGTCAATTTACCTTGGCACTGATAACCTTGCTTCCCAAAGCCCCTGTAACAGAAAGAAAACATTTGCTTAATTTCAGATCCATTTATATACAACGTTAAGAACTAGTTACAAGTACCGGCACCTAGAATACTTTATCAACGAGGGCTCAAGTTATTAACCACATGCAACAAAAACAAAGTACTCCTAACAAAAGAAGAATACTTGCTTAACATTCTACACGCGACATTAAATATTAGATATAAATACCAATGTCAAGAGACTACCAAATCTATGTAATAAGTATGGAATATCCTTTTGCAAATTTTGAGCTATTTTATGTCTAGTTCTATAACCATTTGTTCTAAAAAATATGAGTTCTTCGAATTTGTTTAAATGTAATAAAAAATCACGCACAAAGTGTTATTATATTTACAAATTCTAGGACTTTTTCTTTCGAGATACTCTTAATGTCAAGTCGATCTTTATGAGGAAACAGTACAGAGGACTGCTCTAAGATAAGTCAATGTTGGAAATACGCAGTGCGGCTTGCACTATAACGTTACTTCGTTGATAGCCAAATGTTGCCTTCTATAACTGTCTAGACTTCTGCTTTGATCCAGATCTATCAAGATGCGTCGAGTTAGAGAAGCATGACCGAGGATGGTCAAACCGAATTAACTCATAATTGAAGAATCATAGTTGATGAAATCACGAGTCGATTGGTTCTTACGTCTTACCACAAGAAATCCTTGCAGAAGGCGCAAAATGTTGGCTGTCGGAAAAATTTGGCTACCAGTCGATGGCCTCGTACTACGTGGACTTTATTGTGCTTAACTGCTCCTCTGCGTCTCGTTATTGGGCCACCCACATTATTTTCCGGCGGGGGCGATGCTGCAGCTGCGATTGCCTCTCTTCGAGGTATTCGAGTTCTGTACACGTAAGTCCGATTTCCTGTTGAGCTCGTCGGCGCTTCCGCAGGATTTATCGACGATGGTACTCTCGTTCTGCGAGATTAATACAAAGGAATTAGAATTCAATCATTTAGAATGATTAAAATTAAAGAATATCGGAAGACAGACATATTGCACGGTTCATTTTGTTAGCGGTGTGCGCAAGGCCGTCAGGCATTAAAACACCAAGTCCTCTTTCTACCTTATAATACATTTAAAAAGGGATATTAACACTAGGTTTACGGGCGTTTTTTATATACCTGTTTCTACGAGCACCCGTCGAATTGACGGGTAAACGAAAACACGCATTTTCTTTAAAAAATCGATTTATTCAAATTAAGTCTGAATTAGACAACACTAGGCTTTACGTTTAAATAAATTATTAATAAGTAAAAAGTGCTTTTTTAAAAATTATCACGGAAATGATTGGAATGCTCGTCCTCTCATCCTCGGAGTCAGAACTAGAAAGAATGCGCATCCTTTTCTTGTTACGGCACCTTTTTAAGAAGTTTTCCTCTTCACTATCCGAAGATCCTTCTATCTCTCCACTTTCGATGCAAACTTTCACTTTCATCTTCGCTTTACACTCACTGCAACGAAGCAAATATATATGGATTGTTTATGAAATTAGCTAGTCCGTCAATTTGACGGGTTTCGTAGAGATAGGTATACTGCGTACAGATTTTAATAATTAGAAGGCTTAGGAAAAAATAATTGTGTGTACAAATTCTTTGGATGAAATGATTAATTTACGATACAAAAAGGGTTAAAATTAATGCTATGGTTTTTTCGGTATTTCTTTTTGAAGTTTGAATTCCGTCAAATTGACGGGTCTCGTAAACCTAGTGTTAAACGCAACTTCGATCCCAGTTCGTGTTACAAAAGATTGGAAGAATCTAAGTAGTATACTGAGAAAAATGTAAACGTGAAATAGACGCCAGTCCCTACAAGGGATATGATATACAACTGTAGTAACAGAGCATACAATTGGTAAAGTTATTATTTCCTTCTGTAGTTGTATATCACACCACTTGTAGAGACTAGCGCCTATTTTACAACCGTAGTTGTCACTTATCCTACTATTTTTTCTCAGTGTATAGGAATCCAAAAGGCCCTCCTTTTCGATTGTCAGTTTGCTCATGACTAATTTCGTTTTTTCTAATGTCAATTTCTAGAACAAATCATACCGAATGACAAAATAAAAATATATTAAATGGATCAAAAGTAATTATAATATTGGTACTGTCAAATATAATTATCATAAAAAGAAATACTAAAACCTACCGATAGACCATTTTAAATAACCGCCATAGTATATCAAAAATTCCACAAGGCATATCGCTAAAGAAATGTCCAACTCAATTTGAAAAGTATGTTAGGCACTGTAATTACCCTCTCACGATTCCTCGTTTTTAAGAATATAAGCCGCCAGGTGTTTACAAACATTCTCACGAAGATTTATGATTATATTTACCATCGTCTCTCAATACTCATGGAAAGGACCCCTCATATAATTCACCAATTTCACGCTTACGTGCCTTGGTGTACCATAATTATATGACCATATCTAATACCAAATGAAAGTCCTTATTAATTCTCTTCCTATGACGCTAATGAAAAATCAAGATTAATTAACTTCAACTGTTACGATGTCCCAACGACACTGTATGTTCGATTAATTTCATCGGAATGTTCACAAAATTCGATGAATTGTCATGAAAATATTTCGAAATATTTAAAGAAATGAGTTAATACATAATTAGCCATCTGATCTGAAGGGAATGTTGGAGTAAAAGGAACGAAAAAAAATCGGTGTGCAGCTGCCACGCGTGTTGAAAGTGAAACTCTTAACTTAAAAAGATTTATTGGATATTATTGGTTATTTGCAATTATTCTGTCACGAAATGTCCTTATCCGTTCGTTACTGGTTGTTTTAGACATACATTTTCTTTTTCTATTTTATTCGCAATATTATTTTTAATTAACTTTAAATGTCAATAATTAACTGAAAAAATAACGAACTGGTTGTTTTAGACATACATTTTCTTTTTCTATTTTATTCGCAATATTATTTTTAATTAATTTTAAATGTCAATAATTAACTGAAAAAATAACGAACTAATCCTAACGAATACGTTTACGCAAATTGTCGCAATACTGACATGCGAAGATGAATATAAATAGTAATAAACTGCAAAGATAAAATATACTTGAGTTGTGTCGATGCTAAAACGTACTGGCAAATGTAAATAATAATTGTAAGAAAGGAATTGGGGCAAGATACCAATAACAATGAGCGATGATTATATGACAATAGCTTCTTAGATATGAAATTAAAATAAAATATCACTAACGAAAACGTCTACACAAATTTTCTTCATCAAATCTTGGTAGTAAAATACAAAGAAGAATGTAAACAGTGATTAACTGTAAAAAAATAGCGTCTTACTTTCCGAAACGGGACCCCTTCCATAAAAAGAAAAAGTACGTATCTTTTCATTTACTAAATTATTACAAAATTGCCCGCAGCAAAACGCTCCGATTGGTTGAAAATAGGCAGATAGCTGTTGTGGGAACACGGAAAGATTCGCGAACCAATCAGTGTTGCTGTTTTTAATTTTGCAGCAAAGCAGCAATTGAAAAGACAGCTTTAAACGTACTACCGTGCTATAGGAAGTTTAGTTAAAAAGAATGCGTCAGGTTAGTCACCTGTAAGTGGTGTTTTTAAATTCTCGAGATTTTAAGAGATCTTTGAGACTTTATATTTAAATTAACTTTTGAATCAAATGTATGACTTTTAGTAAATAACATTCATAAAGTCAAACTACTATTTAGCCGAAAATAGTGTCCCTTCAATTTACGATTCCTTTCTCCCTTGCGATGATTTTCCATTTCCGCAGTTTGTGTTGCCACTCTTATCTCAAGATGTAAAAAAGTTTAAGAGATTAGGTTAGCCGATTAATTGTGGCTTGTTCAGTGATTGAAAGTTCAGGAATTCTGGTATCGGAAATTTTAAAAAACTAAAATCTTCAGAAACGCAATTAAACTTTTCACGCGGGATAATAATCAGTTATGGTTTGTTGAAATTATTGGAAATAACTTGAATGTTATTAAAGAAAAATTAAATTCTCCTAACTTCTGATAAATTCGTTGAGATTTTAATCATCGGTTATATTACCCGAATAATATAACGGCCTAAAAACTCTACCTGTAAGTATATCCATCGGTGGCGGCGCGCGGGTGCGCGTTTCTGGGCTCCAGGGAAGACTTCCTTCCGGCGCCGGTGGCGGCGCTGGCGTTCCTCCTCTTGGAGTGCGAGCCGCCCGTGAACATCATGTCTGCTCTCTCGTTTCCCGCTTCCTCCGAGACCTCCGCGCGACACTAACGAAGTCGCGTTACCGCGCGACGCTTAAGGCAACGTTCGTCTCCGCCCCGCGGCACTCATAGTCCTCTGAATCTTCCGTTTTCCTACCGCTCTCCGCCTGGCTTCGGCCGCGGGTTGAATTGTCTCTGGATATCGCCGAGTATATCACCGAGCACCTCCAGTAGTTTCGCGCTACAATTCTCAGGCGCTGAAACAAAAGTCGAATTACTCGTCCCGTTGGATCGCACCGGTGGGCCGTTCGATTGCGCCGTAGGATTTTTCAACCATCTCTCGGTCCCCGAGGCGTCGGAAATCCACGCAAAACTCGCGCTCTCTATAAATACCGAGCGCAGCTCGGCCACTTTCAGCGGAATCGACCTGTCGCGAGGAACGTTTGGGCCGGGGTGTATCGATTCGCGGTTATGTTAGATCGATCGTAAACCGCGAGGGATAGTTCCGATGGCCCGGACTAAGGGATTTGAATTTCGCGCCACTATCCTCGTGCCGACTCTGCCGGAATTTTATGAGCGGGTTGGCGCGTTCCGATTCGTGATTCATCTAGAACGACAAAGTTGCTCGCAGAGGTTTTGCTATTCTAAGATCATTTAGTCACATTTTCGCAACGAAATTACTAGTAAGGAAATTACTAGAATATACTTTACTACGAAATTACTAGTAAGGAAATTACTAGAATATACTTTACTACGAAATTACTAGTAAGGAAATTACTAGAATATACTTTACTACGAAATTACTAGAATATACTTTACTACGAAATTACTAGAATATACTCCAAATATAGTCCAGCTGAAAACGCTATAAGATTGAAGCTTGTAAGAAATATTAAAAGTTCCTCCATTGCAGTTGGTATCTTTGAAGATCCTTTTAAGGTAAAGTGAAACACGTCGAGGAACTTGATCGACGTCGATAAAGAAGATTTTTCTAAATGCCTACGTTGCCGACGTTCATTTTCATACTGACAGCTGTGTCGAATTATATTGTGTATTGTACCAAATGGCATACTCCACCTGTCGTTTTCGTACAATAAATATCAAGAAATCGAAGTAAAACTCCAGAAATCCCCTGGATTCATGCTTTCTGGGGCCCTAATTGACTGCAGAGGGACCCCCTGCACCATCTGTGATTTCCAGGTCAATTAAATTTCCACTCCGAGACCTCGTATTCCCATCGTTTTGGCATAGAAGCGTATACAACACTTTTTTGCCTTTATCCCGTTCAAATGTATGTTTATCGATTATCAGAGTGTTCTAAATTGTCGTAAAATTGTCCTGACCTTTTCGATTCTCATATCAGAGCCTTCGATAATTGTATATTGATCGAAATATGAGAGCTGACGCCGTTGTGGTTCTGGTGTAGGCTGATTAAAAAATTGTTTTAAAAAATCGAAATTCTGAATGTGTTAGGACAATTCTTAGACGATCAGGAGTGATGTGTCAAAGTTTCGGACAGTTTGGTCTAATACCCTTAAAGAAAAGTGTTGTATTCGATCGACTGATTTGAAGGGGGTTTCACTTCACCTTAATATCCACGAGATCTATAATATGTCCCTAGGAGCACAGAATAATTTCTAAATATTATTTTGTAATCTTTACTAAATATCTCATACGATTGATTCTTTAAGACTTCTTATAAATTTCATTTGAAGATATCTAAAATAATTATTGAAAATCTCAATGACGTATTTAGTTTTAATATTATTCGGTATAAAAAAATTCGACAAGTTTTTGCAATACTTTCGTTCCGCTATTTCATTATGGGAGCAAAACATGCGATTATGATTGTAAATATTTTTAAAACGTTTATAATGTATTCGGCAGATAATACTTTAAAAATCTTCTCCATTTATTAAAGCGCTATTTTCGTGCGTATGTACACGCAGAAAAATAATATTGTAATCATTACATATGCTCGCGGGTTAAAGTATCGTTGTAACCTTAACAACAATTATTGTAGATGTAATTACAATTTTTTGTCCTTTTAACCATTGCGGCTGTAGCGCCAACTGCAGAATTCTTGTAAATAAATTGTAGTTATGTTTGCATCTGACAGTATTACATATATAACATTGGAAAGTAAAAATGACACGTATAAAGGCACGTGTAAAACTGACCATCGCAGTTGTAAAATTTAAAAACAAGAACTCTATTGAAAACCGTATAATATACCGTAACACTAGTAATTTTTACAAGCGTGAACTGTTGTTCCTATTGTGCGTTTAAGACACAGCGCGAGAAGCATTCGGGTCGTGACATGCATTAGTTCCGCAGTCTTGCGAACTGTCAGATTCATTGTGACTTCGGTAGCCGCATCATTCGGTCCTCTTCGAAATTCGGTTTTCGATCTAATTTGAGATCGAGTTTTACTTTTTCAATTTATTGTAATAGTTTGATTAAGGGACTACTTGGATGACTTTGTAATAAATGAACTTCAGGAGTAGAGGTTAGAAAACCAAGAACAATCGTTCCAAGGTAAGCTTTACATAAAACACATGTTTACCGTTTTCGATGTATTATATCTGTAGTGATTTCCCGAGTTCCCGACAGGAAAGGATACCGTTTACAATGATACTTTTTACATGCAACAACGGCAACATACATATATGTTGACGTTTGGCAATGGTAGTTTTTACATGAGCTGACTGTAATATACACATGTCGCTATTGTATTTTCTAGCTACCCCAATGGTAATAAATACGTTGCTGCATGTTACTTTCAACATGTATCAACAGTAAAGGGTACACTAGCGAACGTTATCATATACACACGTTATGTGGTAACCATTGCTTCAGTTGACGAGTTTATACTGTCACGATTGTAAATATAACTGTCGTATCGTTGTAATTGTAATAATTCTTTGTAATAACGTGTATTACAATGAAATTGTACATTTGACATTTTTAGCAGAGTAATCATTACTTTGCAGAACTGCTGTCCTTATATTTCCCAGCGATTGCTGTTATATCTATCCCAATTGTAGTAATTATAACAAGTTTTTTCTCTCCGTGTATGTATGTGTGTCACGAAACAATGGTAACGCTTTTTCGGCGGGTTACAGTTCGTATTTGAAAATCGCCGATACACATCCCCTCTAAATCGAGGGCGAGGATGTCAAAACTTTCATCGGATGAAAAAAATTCCGATCACATGATCGAGATTCGGCAATTGGTTGATCCAATTCGGCGCAGTCGAGCCACTGCGAAGAGCCGTGCTGTCGGCGCTCAGGGTATATCTAGTACTTATATTAAAATGAAACGAAATTTTTTATATATCTATACGTAAAATATTACGAAATCACGTGGAGCTAATATTATACAACTATCATAAAAATAATATTCTGAAGTAAATGGTTTGGAAATGTTTCAAATGTCTTCTAAATATTTATAAATTGTACGACGTTTGTTAAATATATAGAGAATATAAGACAAATATTTCGTGCTACTAGGGGTAGACACGTTGCAGTTGAACGGCGGCGGATATTTGGACAGTTCGGTGTATGTACCTCCATTGGAATTTCGAATCGTACACTGTATACTCTTTGGCTGTTTACCCTCGCAGCGCGAAACATCTACTGTACTTTTAGTGCAGGCATGTACAAACTTTTCTCGCAGACATGGATCGATTTCGCTTAACTTATCGGTGGTTTAATGGTCCTTATGCTCGGGCTCCTTAAAGCCGCCAACAGTTGCATATACGAGCCACTAATACCCAAGTTAATGAGTAAAGTACATTAATGAATATTAAGGTGATATGAAAGTGGCGTCAAAGAAGTTTTATTTATGAAACTCTTCTCCGTCCTGGACATACCGAATCGTTCCAAACTTACAATGTAAATACGGAGGCTACAAGGAAGATCCTGACACCCATAAAATTTCAATTTTTTTTAAATTTGTTTATTGATATTTTCAAAATTTTCTATAAAAAATGAAATTTCATGAGGGTCACGACCTTCCTTATAGCCTCCATGTTCACGTTGAAAAGTTTGAAACCATTCGGTACACCCAGTTCGTAGGAAAGTTTCGTGAACGATTGAGCTTTTGGATGCCACTTTCACATCCCCTTAACATTAAGGTGAAATAAAACCCCCTTCAAATCAGTGAATTCGAATACAACACTTTTTTTTAAGGGTATTAGACCAAACTGTCCGACGCTTTGGCACATTACTCCTGATCATCTAAGAATTGTCCTGACACATTCAAAATTTAGATTTTTGGAAAAAAATTGCTTAACTCAGCCCAGACCAGAACCAAAATGGCGCCGAGCTCTCATATTTCGATCAATATACAATTATCGAAGGCTCTGATATGAGAAACGAAAGGATCAGGACAATTTTACGACAATTTAGAACACTCTGGTAATCGATAAACTCGCATTTCAACGGGATAAAGGCAAAAAAAGTGTTGTATGCGCTTCTATGCCAAAGCGATGGGAATACAAGGTCTCGGAGTGAAAATTTAATTGACCTGGAAATCACAGATGGCGCAGGGGGTCCCTTTGCAGTCAATTAGGGCCCCAGAAAGCATGAATCCAGGGGATTTCTGGAGTTTTACTTCGATTTCTTGATATTTATTGTACAAAAACGACAGGTGGAGTATGCCATTAGGTACAATATCCAATATAATTCAACCCAGCTGTCGATATAAAAACGAACGTCGGCAACGTAGGCGTTTAGAAAAATCTTCTTTATCGACGTCGATCAAGTTCCTCGACGCCATCCACTTCACCTTAAGGTGAACGAGTATATGCGAATAATATACGAATAAATTTCTGATCCCCGGGGATGTTTTAAGGTAATCGTTTCAGTTCGCATCTGCGCAACATTTATTTTCCGTGCCCTTCACCGTAGCAAGGTTTGCAGCTACTCGGAGATCGGCGACATTTCTCATTTCCCCGAGACCGTGGAAGTCTCGGCACCAAGGGGAACATTCGAGCGGATTGGCCGAGACGCGGTCCCGATCCCTGGCAATAAATAAAGCGCGCTTCCTGGCACATCACCTGGCCCGCCGACGCTATACCGATGTTATCCGCGGTCATATTTAGAATTTCCCGGCGTCGGCGGTGTCGAAAATGTGTACAAAACTCGCGGCGTCTATTAATACAAACAGTGAAATATCCGATGTCGCCGGTATCCGGTGGGATCGACGCGGGATATCGAGCCGACGAGGATGGCGCGCCGATTCAGGGTGGTGGGCGCATGCGCACCGCGACGTTGCGCCGAGAGCGAGGGCTGAACCTTTCTCTTGTATAGATATGAACTACTACCCGCTCGTATCCTAACGTGCATCGACAGTTTAGAGAGGAAGATCAAAACAAACCATGGTGCAGGCTCGGCGTCGTGATTCACAAAAAGAGGGAAATTCAAATATAATTATTTCGACCGAGACAACGTGAACCATAGGGCCGGTTCTTTGAGTCAAGGCGGTACCGCGAATGAACCGCATTTAAAATAATTTCACCTGTACTATATCCACCCGAGTTCGGGGGGAGGGAAGATATCCCAAAAGTTATACCGAAAATAATATCGTTTACTATCTACGGAATCATAATTCCAAATTCTACTCTACGTACACCTTCTTCGTATTTCCTGAAATTGATTTCGAAGCATCACGCTGCATGGACAGGGAAAGATGGTCGTTTTTAAATAAGATATCACTTAGTCGGATGTAATCGGTTAATTCCTCGGCTTTACCCTGGTAAGTTTGCTTCCATCGTTCTATCCGTACTCGGATATTTTGTGCCATGGCAGCCTTTGACCTAGCAGGAGCGATCCATTTTCCTTAATTGTACGCGAGTCCGTTCCACCGAGTGTTAAAATGAATTCGAAGTTTTCGAAATCATTAGTTCCTGGTCCACGATGGCGGCGAGTAGCCGTGAGATTCTTTCGCCCCCCTCCCCCGCGAGGCCGCGGCCCCGACGGAACCGCGGTTCCGGATTGGCCGGCGCCCCGTTCAACGTGGCCGATTAATAAATAGCAACCCCTGGTGAATTCCGCGACGGCGGTAAACCAGTCGCCGTCGGGAGTTACCTTGCAACCGTTCCCTTGATCTCGATAGAGGGCGCCCATTCGACGACGGGGGACGCGGCCGACCAATTGGAGATTGACGGGCCTTGCTCGCGGCAGACCCGTCGATACGTACCCTGCGGCCGAGGAATCGGTCGGAGCGGCTGGTGGCGTCAAGAGTCACGCAGCTCGTGGGACCTCCGTCGAGGACCTCACGGGGAGCGAGACGCGATGATTACGGCCGATCGCGCCGCCACTGAGCCGGACGACCGCGGCGTCTCGCGAGAACGCATCTCTGCGGTAACGCCGATCACTCAACGCCGATACCTTCGAACGGGGCCTGACGAGATGCACGGCCGGATTTTGACACCGAAAACGCTGTAGACGTGCACGAAACTCAGGCGTCTATAAATATCGGCCCGTTGAATACCGCCCGCCACGGGGCAGCTATCGCGGCGCCATCTGTCTTCCGCGCCGGAACTATACTCCGCGATACGGATTTTCGTTTCGTCCGTTCTTATCGGCTAATTTCTCCTTGTGTTTCCTATGAGTAAATTTTAAAAATTGAACGCGATATTTACGCTTCCCATCTTGTAATAATGGCGATGACTGAGGTTTTAATTCTCCTTTTTCGTCGGTTTTTATCGGATTTCTCCTGGCTGCGTTTCCTATGAGTGAACTTTAAAAATCGAACGCGATATTTATGCTTCGATCCCTTGTAATAACGGCGATAACTGAGGTTTAAATTTTCCTTTTTCATCCGATGTTATCGGCTAACTTCTCCTGGCTGCGTTTCCTATGAGTGAACTTTAAAAATTGAACACGATATGTACGTTTCGATCTTGTAATAACGGCGATGACTGAGGTTTTAATTTTCCTTTTTCGTCGGTTTTTATCGGATAACTTCTCCTGGCTACGTTTCTTATGAGTGAACTTTAAAAATCGAACGCGATATTTATGCTTCGATCTTATAATAACGGCGATGACTGAGGTTTAAATTTTCCTTTTTCATCCGATGTTATTGGCTAACTTTTCCTGGCTACGTTTCCTATGAGTGAACTTTAAAAATCGAACGCGATATTTATGCTTCGATCTTGTAATAACGGCGATGACTGAGGTTTAAATTTTCCTTTTTCGTCCGTTTTTGTCGGATAACTTCTCCTGGTTGCGTTTCCTATGAGTGAACTTTAAAAATTGATCGCGATATTTACGCTTCCATCTTGTAATAACGGCGATGACTGCCGTTTAAATTTTCCTTTTTCGTCCGTTTTCATCGGCTAACTCCTCCTGGCTACGTTTCCTATGAGTGAATTTTAAAATTGAACGCGATATTTACGTTTCGATCGCATGTAATAACGGCGATGACTGAGGTTTAAATTTACGCATTAAAAATATACTTCGCTGTCAAAGTGCGAGGTTTCTTTTTATTTTTATTTCGACCCTAGTAAAATTTTCTGCACACCCACGGTGTTCTTAATAACTGATTTTTGGAAGTATCGATACATAAGATGTAGCAAACGCCGAGCTTCCAGTGACGTTTGTCATTTAAATTGAACAAGGAAGTTTATGTAAATGCTTGTATTTTAATGTAATGAACGAAGTATACAGGGCATTCTTCCTCTGCAATTACTAACACCACGTTCTGCGCCATTTATATTACAGACTGCTTCACGTAACGCTGATTACTCCGCTCGCTTATCATACAATGATATAATGACTTTCTCCCTGACTTTGCTCATTTTCTCGACAGATACTTTGAAAGAGAAGGTAGGAGAAGAGAGGAAAGAGAGGGAGGGAGAAAAAGTGAGAAAATGAAAAGAACGTTGAGTGTAAAGTGATCAACCATAGAAAAATTATGGATCCGGCTATGCACGGGACACCTTTAAGTGGAAACTTTACGATCCATTCTCGTCGCTAGATCAAAATTTCCTTTATAGCTAGGAGACAAAAAATGCGCGTACAGTAATAATGCCGCTTTTATCGAAAGTCCGTGAAATTCATTTCTAAATATCGACGGCGAGAGGCTTTAGCGTAACCGAACGATCGCCACATTAAACTCATCGTCTTTGTTACGAAACAGCGATACGCGTTTTGTATATCATATGTCCCGGTCGGCCGAAGAGAAATGCACCCCGACGTGCGCAATAGCAGGTTTTGCCGAAGCTCGTCGGCAATCGAAATATGTAAGGGCGCTCCTCTTCCTCGAGGAGTTCGCCGATCGTTCGCACAAATGCTTCTCTCAAATGAAACACCTCAACTTCGTTACGTCGAACTGCATACAAATTATTTATAATTTATATTATGCTACCGTTAAAAATCTAACTAGTAACCTCCCTCTAATACACGTATACACATTATTATGTTTAAGACCCTCAGATTTAGTGTAAAAGAATATCAATTGGGAATGATTAGAAAAAGGCGTTGGTATCTCATCAAAATAATAAAATTCATTTCGATCGAATGCCGAAGCTCCTTTCTATCCCTCGCATGTATCGCGCAACATTTTTTTGACAGGCTACGACTTCTATTAGGAAAGGCACGAATCATAGCCAATCCGTTCCATTGTGCACGCTCCGGATAGGGCCTTACTTTTCAAAAGCATCGAATTCCTATAACGTCTTGGTGACTCCTGATGCGCAAGAGTCTAGCTGAAGTACGAATCATGCTTCATCGGAGCCTCCATCGGCCGATGCTGTCAGTGATCGGTGGCCAGCTTTTTGGGCTGACGTTCCTGAGCGCGTTTCAATCGTTGCATCAGCAAGTCGTGAAGCTGATCCACTTCCATTGGGGCTGCTTGAACGATAAAAATTCTAATGTCCCCGTGGACATCCATGGCAGTTAGTCTCAGAGATTTTGGACTGGCTCTTTCCACGGTCATTCCTGGCCAAACTTTAGTGTTGAGTACCAATCTTTGAGTTCCTATAGTTCGCCCAACTAATCTAGACTCTTCTTCTCGATCGTTTAGTCTCAAAGTGCCTCTCCCTCTTTCCTGCCAACTACTCGTTGCCTGAAAATATCATGATTAATGCAAATAATATATTAAACTAATTCTTGGCAAGGATTTGAGCATGAGTATGGAATCTACCTTGTCGAAGGCAAAAAGTTTGCAATTAATTTGAAGAATATTAGTCTCGCCTTCTTCGCCAGTAAGCAGCGTCACCTGACTGTATTTACGCTTATTCGCCCTACTAGCTTCTTCCAATTCCTGTGCAGCCTCGGTCAACGTTAGACCAGGCCGACTCGTACTGCGGCATACTACTGCAGCATTTGAAAACATTAGTTCGGAGGAACCATTTTCACTAGTCTCTTCCCCTGTTGTTTCTTCTTTCTCTGAACTATCGGAATTTTCCGTATCGTTTGCGACGGTAACACGTTCTTTAAGATTCTGACCAAAAACAAAACTTGGCGTCGATGCACTGGGGGCTACGGTACTATTTACATTATTTTCATTTTCCTTTGTGCTTGCTCCTAAGGGTAAAAATTTAGGTTTTCCATCCTCCTCTGGTTTTTCTTCGTTACTAGATTCCTTTGGAACTTCACTTGTATCGTCTGTGTTGTCTGCTGAAGCATCTTCAACATTCGTGGAATTATGTGCAGCTTTTGTAAAAGGATTATGGAACTTTGCAGGTTGCAAAACAGTCTTAACGGAGGGACCAGGATTATTTGTCACAGCACTTAGTTGCGAAGGCCTTAATATTGCAGGTTTTGGCTTACTAACGGTTGATGAAAATTCACTGACACCAAATGAATTTCCAAATCTTGATGCTGATAATACCGGACCTAAGATTTTTAAATAATATGTAATATGAAACAGATAGTGCAAAGAACTACTGCTATTTACATCTATTCGATCACATAGATCGCAATTACATTTCTTTTTACTTTTTATTTACGTGTATACTTACAATGAATTTTAGTGCTTGATTTAACAGAAGGTGAAGTGAGATCTTGGGAATTTTCTTCCGAAGATTGCCCCTCCATTTCTTCTGAAATTACCCATACAAAATGTAAATAAAATGTAACAAAAGTTATATAATAATTATTAGATATATAGTACATAGATGCAATTCAAAACTAATTAATAAAAATGTTATAGAACATTGGATAGTTTAAAATCTTTTCATATACTTAACATTTATCAAGTAATATACAATGTATGTAGTTCTTTACTCTTATGCATGCACGTTTAATGTTATTTGCTCAGCAAGTCGATGTACACGAATGACTGTGCTGTTAATTGATTTGTGTAATTGCCAGTAATTCTAAAAAATAATTACTAAATGGACAAACTTTCAGCAATAATTCTTACCGAGAGGCAGAATAACACGAATGTTATAAAACAACCACAAAATTTAGCTTTTACTTAGTAATTCAAGATTCTTATGATTACATTTACGTTCAGTTAGAAGTGTGGTTATGATATCTCTGTTATGGAGTTCAAAGCAGTATACCAAACAAATGGACAAATATTCCCCAATATTATAGCCTAAATGTGATTACTGATAAAATCCTTTAGTTAGGCGAATGAATTAATGATTTGTAATTAGAAATTTGAAAATATGAAATAAAAGAAGGCAGGATACCATTTGCGGAATTTTCGCTGGATTCATCCGGTGCGTCGAATTTCATTATTATGGGAGGCTGAGGCCCGTTTGTTTCGTCTTTAATCTCTAAACACAATGAAAACACAGAATTAAAACCGTTGTCAGTGGAAAATAATTCAACCCGCTATCGGGCGCGCATCTAGTTTAAAGACATCGAGAAAGGACGATTCCACTAAAACTTTTTTAGTACAATAACCTACAGATAGTAAGTTCAACCTATGTGTTAATTAATTACTGCTACGTAAAATTATTTTCACGTCGAAAACACGTTTTTCTAAGAACAGAACCACAAAACGCACCCTTGCAATCCGCCATTTTTTACATGCAAATGGAGCGCCATCGTGCTGCCACCTTTCGGGATAATTCGGAGTACGAAAATTTTGTTACATGGCAAACCCGTCAATACTTTGCGCTCAAAATCTTATATCGGTTTCTCTTCAATGACTCAAGTGCGATTTAGAAGTCAATGATAAGATGCAAAAACAACCGAAATTTCATCCAGGTTTCTGTCATATTGAAATAACCCATTAAACGTAAATATTCTCCATTTTTTCTCTTCATCCATTATCGTAGCGCTCATATATTGCTTTGTAGCTGAAACTGTACATTCATGAAATAATTATTAATTAATGTTAAAGATATTGTTTCTAATTGTAATCCATTTATCGTATTAAAGTAAAGGGTAGTATTTTTAAAATGTGCGTATTCTTTTAATAAACGTCAATAACGTAAATCCTTTCACAATGAGCTCAAGGAAGTAAGTTGACAATAATTTTCCTTGTAGCATTTTGACTGTGCACCCCCTTTTACCTTCGCCGCGAATCATGGTTTTTGTGCTTCCTGTGTTATTAAACAATATCAACTCTGATTTGACCCACATTACCTAAAACTAGAAAATACAAACTCCAAAATTCTGGACAGACAGTTATATCTTAAAGAAAGCCAACTTTGTGAATGATTGAATTTATTAATAATTGTTAATAAATATTATCAAAACGTAATACATAATTTTTATGAGTAATTCAATTTTCATTCGTTTTTGACGGCAAAATAAAAGATACACTTGGATACTAGCAAATTTCAAAATGTGGGAAAATACGTAAATCGAAAGTCCGCCGAAAAATTGACGTCAGTAGAACAAACCAATTGCATCTCTTCCTGGTCAACAATAGCACATTCTGTAAGATTTGTATTTATTTTCTCAGTTTCTTGATTGCTGCAATTCAGAATATTGAAACTTATCCAAGAACAAGAACATACGTCGCCCTGTCAAATCTGAAGTATTTCTAGAAAACATTCATACCATTTGGCACCATTTATAGATACTGATGCCGGTAGGTTATTTTACAGCGATTGTAACGTAAATCATAATACTGCCAATAATTTCCTAACGAACAAATTATTGGCATCAATAGCATCAATGTTCAAACTTTTAGAGGAGTCTCTTCTCTCGAGATTGAAATGGATCTGAATGGATCCGCATACAATTCAAGTCGAATTCTTTTGACAGATCATTTATTACTCACCGCTTGGTGACCTTAGATCATAAATATCTAGACCTCGCATAGCAGTGGAAGGGGTACTCGAATACCACATGGACCACGTGTGCCGACGGCACTCGGACCCAATCAGATTTTAGACCATATATTTGTGTGTGACCACCTTGCAGTGGAAGGGGTAAACAAATGTACCACGTGACCCGACGACTCACCCACACAGTTAAAGTCATTCTTCTTACTGAAAATCTGGGAGTGGGAGGTCCAACGCAAGGTCTACATATATATGGTCTAAGTTGGTGACGCGCTAGTACTCACACACCGTTACGAGCAACACAAATTGCAAAGGTCGATCTCCCATCTCTCAAGGACCACTGAAAAAGTCGATCTGTGATTGGTCCAGGCGAGCGGACATCTTGCCCTCGGCCAATCAGCGCTTGTCGAGCCTTCACTTAGGTCCACTTCGGTGACTCCGTCTGACTTCGGTCAACTGGACGAACTGGACCGAACGGTGAAAAAACAATACTCCGTGGGCAGCGGCCACTGAGGCAACTGAAAGATAATGTCACATCAAACGGGAATTAAAGGTGATTAATAGCATTCTAACTAATTAGAGCAAAGTTTGAGCATAAGGCTACTTAGAAAATCAAAGATTCGTAGTGGTTTAACCTTCAAATTTCTTGGGTTTATGTATACTATAGTAAGTGTTGGAATTATTTCAGCCAACGATGCCTTGAAGAAGATGTTCGCTAAATGTCGAGATGGGAAAATAAGAGTACTCAAAGTTTCTATAGAAAATGGTGAGTTTTTGCGATATAATTTATAATAACTTAGAAGTGATTTATTGGACATTTTGTATCGAATGTTCTCAATTGTATTAATTTTTAGAGGAACTAGTCCCCTCATCTTCAGCAAAGCCTGCAAATAAATGGAAGGATGATTACGATAAAATGGTGAAACCATTGATCGTCGAAAATCAACCTGCTTATATATTGTATCGACTTGACACAAAATCGCCGGATTCTGGTTACGATTGGCTATTAATTTCTTGGTCCCCTGATACTGCCCCCGTTAGGCAAAAGATGTTATATGCCTCGACAAAAGCTACGCTTAAACAGGAGTTCGGTACTGCATCTATAAAAGAGGAATTACATGGCACCGTTCCAGAGGATATTACTCTGGATGGATATTTTAAGCATAAAAGAAACGATGCAGCACCTGTACCATTGACGACGGCCGAAGAAGAGCTAGCCGAGCTGAGAAAAACTACAATTAACACTGATTATAGCGTAGAGACGAGACATCAAACATTAAGTGGCGTTGCATTTCCTGTAACAGATGAAGCAAAGCAAGCGATATCGGAGCTTGGTAAAGGAGTGTACGAATATGTTCAACTTAAAATCGATTTAGAAGAGGAAAAAATACATTTGGTGATGGCATGTGACATTTCCTTAGATAAATTACCAACTAAGGTACCCTCGGATTCAGCAAGATATCATCTTTATAATTTTAAACATACTCATGAAGGAGATTACACAGAAAGCATAGGTAGGTTAAATAGACTCGATAGAAATAAATTCTGTTCACATGTGGTTTGTTACAAGATACTAATCACAATTATTGTTATTGTTTCCATCAGTTTTCATATACAGTATGCCGGGATATAGCTGCAGCATCAAAGAAAGAATGCTGTATTCCTCCTGTAAAGCACCTCTACTCAATCTCATTCAATCACTAGGAGTAAACATAGTCAAAAAGGTTAGTAACTATAATACATATGCATGACTAACTTTAATCTTCTTGAAATTATAAATAAATAGGCTTTGTTTCTAATCTGTTGATCATAGGTTGTATTTAAGATGAATTTCATGCATGCATGTTGAACGACAGCATTTTATTAGTATTCAAAGTATATTTTAATTGATTCCCAATTAAAGACGATAGAATAACAGTCAAAATTAGGTATAGAGAAATATTTTGTTCTACCTTTGATCCTCATTGACAATTTCATCCAGTAATTCATTTAAAGTTCATAATTGCATATCAAATATGGTGGGAGATGTTATGTTGAAGACCATTTTAATTACTAGTTCCTTAAAGTATTTTACCATTCTTGGAGCAACAAAAATATATCACTATTCTGAGAATGAAAGTTAGCATGTTTCACATAATAATGTATCTGTACATTTGATAACATGAAACAAAATACGAAACCCAATCGTAGTTGGAAGTAAATAGCGGAGAGGAGTTAGCAGATATGTTGGAAGATCCTCCCATCATAAAAGATATGGCTGCTACGACACCTGTGACTCCATCAACGCCCTCTGCTCCCACACAAACTATTCCTGAGAAAAAATTCAAGCAGAAGCGATCGTGTGTTTTGAGTTAACCAGATGTCTTGTCCTCGATAACTTCACCATTTTTTGGTCCAATCGTTACACAGCTGATAAATGTCAAGTATCTTCCATCATGAATTTTACCTTTGTGATAGTATGGATCACAGTTTGCTCCAGAGGGATACAAAAGTGATTTCCCTCGACCTTTTATATTTCTGTATTAGGCGGTACCGTTGTAAATGTTCTGGATCGTTTGTAGAGTAACTTTAGGTTGACCAAATCACATAAACAAAGCCATTAGCGACGGTCATGAAGTTCTGGTGTTAACCGATCAAAGTGATACGTATAAAGTCTATGTAGTGGAAGAGAGTAGACCGTACGGTGTATTTTTCTAAATTTTAACTAAAAATGATTAAGTCACAATGGCGATAACTTTTCAGTAGTGAAACAAATTTCGTAATAGCTTTCATACGTATATGGGCATCTAGTTGGGGCATTTACTTTTCCTTTATTATGAGATTCGGTGAATTATTTCACCAAATGACCACATGTCTGAAACTGTTTATTAGTTAAGCTTTCTATGCTAGATTTTGATTTTTGTTTATGACGTAAGAATCGGAGTCGGAGTTACTATTTCTTGCCAGCTTGAGTATTTATACTTTCTTTGCTGATATATTCGTTTATGCAGTTCTACTAATTGCTTTTGTTCAATGGAAAATGTGATCGAGCAGTACTTGCTCTCATTCCTTATATTTTATATACAATTAATTTTATTAACTTCGAAAGCCAGATTATGTACTACTGTGCACAATTATTTTACGAGTAAAGTTTTCATATCGTGTTGAGTAGAAGAAAACGAAGATAAAAAATTGTTCGTGTTGCTGTTCTTACTGGTGCACCAGAATCTGCAGAGGAATCATTATTTATCTGCTTCCTTGTGTTATCGTGAAGGATTCTGATCATGGCCTTGACTTAAGGAAACTGTTCAAATATGTGAAAAGCTCCGATCCACGGTAACATGCAGCAAATGCCTATCGTACACTCAGAGGCAACGTAAACCATAAGCATATAGTGATCTGTTAGCGGGCATCTTTATGGTATCGGGATGACTACTTTTGCCAAGTGAACGTAGATATTCAACGTAATATGTCTCAAATTAGTTCCTAGTCTCATGAAAAGTGATACGTACAAGAATAAGTTTGTCTAATTAATGTCTCTTTAAGTAACAAGCGCGAGGGCTTAACTTTTGAAACTCGTTTAGACATTTGTTAAGGGTCTTAGCGATGTAATTGGGGGGAAGTCCTTTCTACAAATCGAGTATTTTTGGCATCTGCGATGCCTTCATGTGATTATTAGGAAGTTAGGTAGAAATTCATGTGCTAATGTAGCCTAAATCCGCTAACCTAACTTCTCTATACGTATTCCGGTATGTTAAACGTAGTCGTTGGGGGTTATCGATGTGTGTATACGTTTAACGTTATACACTTTCGATTGCTGCAGGTGTACCTCCGTTGCACAATGTCATTCCAATTGCGATCTAGTGGTAACAACTATTATCTAATACATATTAACATATACATATTAAAATATTATATTATACTCTATGCTATTAAGAGTGGTACAACACTACGTGTTGGATATATGTGTATGACGTAAGACTGATTAGGCGAAAGTCCCATTCGCTTATGCATTCTGATTCAAAATCTTTCGATATGTCCACTTCATGTGATTATGTTCCAGTGTCGTTTTTAATCGTCAGTTTATAATAACCATTCGAGGCAATTGAAATTTGATAAATTTCAGCATTTCTGCAATCTACCGAATGTGAAATTAACGATAGAATGTTCAGTCCTAACCTAAATGAAATCGATGATCAGCTTTTATTGAACATCTGGTATGAGTAATTGTAATTTGTTAGTGGTTTTATTTATTATGACAAATGTGTTTCTTTTTATATCTTATGACCGATTCAACATTTGAATGACTGAAAATAACTTGGGAGGAAAAAGGAAAAATTTGAAAATTAATTTTCTATGTGCAATTTAACGTATGTATAATGGATGGGGCTATTAGCCAAGTAGCCAGCAACAAGATGACGATATTTGAGAGGTATTCTATTTTTTGTGATGTGTATTTTTTTAAAATCTTGTAGCTTTTTATAAATCTTTAAAGAAATTTATGTCCCTCTATCTTCCAGCAATTGACGCTCAAAAACTTTCAACTTAAATCTAGGGAGAACAAAGGTTTAAAGAGTCGTATTCTTGCCCGCGGTATTCTTGAAAATAATAAAAAAAAAAATAAAAAAAAATAAAAGTAAAGATTCCGCGGTACACGAAGCTTTCCGAAAATATCAGACTTTTGATATTTTCGAATAAAAATAGATCACTATGATCAGTCTGGCTAGTGGTTAATGTTCGATACTTCGATGTTGATCCACGAACGAATAATCGTTAATCTTCCTCGTGGAAATATATCAAGTTCACCCGATCTAGACCTTTGTCACCCCTTTGAAAAGTGCTGTTCACAGGCCTAAGTTTCTCCTTCCGGTCTTGCTCAGAGATTGCAACAGTTGCGTTCGAATCTTTAAGACAACGCACATCGTTATATCGTTAGCCTGGACATGACTTTCAGCCTAACGAGTGACTGCTACTCCAGGCCTATTCTGTAAGTTTTGTGCGATATTAGTCATTTATAAAGAAGGTATTGTTATTGTCATAGGCTCATTGGTTCAAACAAATGAATTATATATCTTGCCAATATTAAGTATGCTATAAACAATAAACCATTATTAAGATTGAAAGTGGGATTTTATTGATTGCGACGCGTCGCTTCGAGCGATTTCCTAGTTCACCCAGAATGTTAGAGCCTGAGGGTCCATGGAGATGCGATCGTCGAACCGGTATGTAATACTATTAAGATAATCAAGTAGGATTAACACTGAGCTTACAGAATAGGCCTGGAGTGCCGCAATTCGCTCGGCTGATCTCTCTATCTCGGGAATTTCTCCGTTTGTACGAAAACAAGCCTCGAGAGTGCGCGACCGACTATCGCCATCTTCTAAATTTAATCCTTTGCTGTTCTTTCGGTGTGCAGCTAGAGATAGAAGACGGGAAGGAACTAACCGAAGAATTCCTTCAAGAGGAGTTACACCCGAAAGTCAATTTGCATCGACCAAAGTTTGCCAAGCCCAAGGGTCCACCGTCTAGAGGTGCGAAGCGAATAACCAAAACCCAAGAGTTAGAGAATCCGGTACAGGACGACTAGATGAGCTCGATTTAGATTTACAGTATTACACCAACGCAAAAAGGGTAACAGGGTGTTGGGTCGTAAGTTGTAACGTTTACAGGATCACAGGATACGCGACGTGGGGAAGACGTTAAAACAACGTACGATTTTCTTTTCATTGATTGCGTTATTTTATCGCGCTCGTTATTACGGTGTCGCGATTGGCATAATATTGTAACGGTGAAATTAGTTCACTAAAAAAGCATTTATCCGGATTGTTTGTGGCGTCCAGACCTATTCTATAAGCATTCGTATTATGCGTATCATTATTGCAATAATTGACTTCTTTAGTTAATTAATATTTTGAAGTAAGACGTTTTCGTTTACACTTACAGTATTTATTACATTGCATATCTTAAAATAATTATGATGTATCGATTATTTGAAGTTGAAATTGTATAAATGCTAAAGAAGTTGATCAAGGAATAAGAAATTATTTAAATAAAGATCATAAATATTATGTTTAGCTTTTTGATCGTATCATGCGTGGAGTAATGGGAAAGATTTTGCAAAACAATTGACAATGGAGTCATTGTAAGATCCGACCGATTGAGGTTATTGATCGTCATTGATTTTTCAGTAGCAGCCCACGTGTTAAGCTTGTATCTGCACGATTTAATCTAAATTATAAAAGAGTGATTTAAATTGCATCAATAACGTTCTGACATGTTTGTGCTAGTAATAAAAAGTTTCCATTCATTTTGGATTTCTTGTTTGATGAATTTATGCCATCGTTTTGTTTTTTTTAAATCCTACATTAAAATTCAGTTGTATAAAACAATTCATTGATTTTAATTTCTATACCATTACTAATACTAGATATTTACCTATTTCCTCTCTCTCTCTCTTTCTCGACTCTGTAAGAGTAAATAGATACAACATTAAATTTAACAATGGGAACGCAGAAATTAATGACTATATTTTTTAATATGTACAAGGAGATAATTTTCTGATACAATGAACCATAAATGTACAATGCATGATATTTAAAATGTACATTTAACCGTTTGAGTACCAGAGGTTTTTAAAAAATCACGGTCGATAAATGTCGAACAGCTCAATAGTACTTTCTGAATGGGATGTGAAAAGATTCAAGCGGTGCGATAGCGTTTCTCTTATTTCATGTCGAGAAAAGCCAAGTAGCTCGATAGCGCTTGTCTTAAGGTGAGGTGAAACCCCCTTCAAATCAGCTGATTCGAATACAACACTTTTTTGTAAGGGTATTAGAACAAGCTGTCCGAAACTTTGACACATCACTCCTGATCATCTAAGAATTGTTCTGACACATTCAAAATTTGGATTTTTGGACAAAATTTTTTAACTTAGCTCACACCAGAACCAAAATGGCATCGAGCTCTCATATTTCGATCAATATACAATTATCGAAGTCTCTGATATGAGAAACGAAAGGATCAGGACAATTTTACGACAATTTAGAACACTCTGGTAATCAATAAATTCGCATTTGAACGGGATAAATGCAAAAAAAGTGTTGTATGGGCTTCTATGCTAAAACGATGGGAATACGAGGTCTCGGAGTAAAAATTTAATTGACCTGGAAATCACAGATGGCGCAGGGTGTCCCTCTGCAGTGAATTAGGGCCCCAGAAAGCATGAATTCAGAGGATTTCTGGACATTTATTTCGATTTCTTGATATTTATTGTACGAAAACAACAGGTGGAGTATGCGATTTGGTACACTATCCAATATAATTCGATACAGCTGTCAATATAAAAATGAACGTCGGCAACGTAGGCATTTAGAAAAATCTTCTTTATCGACGTCGATCAAGTTCCTCGACGTGTTTCACTTCACCTTAACCTATGTTTGCTGGTACTAAGTAACGGGATCGCGCTTCCCGCTTTTTCTTCTTACGTCGACAAATGAAATACAGGTAGCCCTCCTACAACACGGCATCCTATAACACGGTTTCGCTCTAACACGATAAAAAAATTGCGAAAACCTTTGTACAACACTGTACTCCTACAGCACTGAATAACATGATTTTTGTTTAACATATTTAAAAACTAAATTACCTTAAAATAATGGCGGGAAGGAATAATAAACTATAGTGCCTTTACATGAAAATAATATTTCTCGTTTTTTTTTCGTTTTGTGTTATACATACATTTATATTTTTAATAAAAATTAAGTTGCTTATATGGAATTTTAAAAAAAGTTTGTTTTTAATAGGTTTTCGGAACGTAATCCCCCCCTTTTTGTCCTGGCCCTGAGTCTCATATAACACTGTTTCGCCCAAAACATCATTTTCTAGGAACCTATCTACTGTGTTATAGAAGGGTTACCTGTACTATTTTACACACACACACACACACACACACGCACGCACGCTATTAATTTATAATCGTTAACAACGAAATACAAAATGTATTACTTGGATTACTTATATACAAAAAAAGTAACGATGTGACGTATGTATGTACATACATGCGTCTGAAAATTTGAGCCAGTATCGTCAGATTGTGAGTACAACGTCAGTTGTTCGTATCGTTCAAATTTTCATGGGTTTTTTCGACATGAAATCTGAAGAGCGCGAAAGCGGCGTGTGGGACTCAAACGGATATTATATGTACGTTATGGGTGCTGTTGCTTTATTTATTTGTCCTTCCACACGTTTCATTTATCTACAGTTTCTCACTTTTCTATGTTTCTGATTTCATTAACATTTCTACCACTGTCTATTCATAATTTGTTTCAATTTTTTTTCTTTAAATTGGGCTCCATCTTATTCTACTTTCGTTAGTTTTTCATTTTTCTCAGATTCTGTCTTTACTACTTCTGCTGCCCGTTGATCTACAAGTTCATTGTGTTTTTGCAACAATTCTGGCAACTGATTCATTCTAGCTTCTTTCAGACCTTCTCGTATTAATCTGAAACAATATGATTAATTAATGCCTTTTCGAGGTATACACGGAAGGTATCAGTTAATATGATTACATATCAAATAATTGTACGTATTGGATAATATTTAGCAATTAAATTTAGTTAACACTGTACCACATATTGAAAGTAAAACACATAAAAATAAATTATTCAATATGTTAAAATGGATTCATCACAGATTAACTAGTTTAGGCTTATAAGGTATAAGTTGTATAAAAATAGATCACTATGATCAGTCTGGCTAGTGGTTAATGTTCGATACTTCGATGTTGATCCACGAACGAATAATCGTTAATCTTCCTCGTGGAAATATATCAAGTTCACCCGATCTAGACCTTTGTCACCCCTTTGAAAAGTGCTGTTCACAGGCCTAAGTTTCTCCTTCCGGTCTTGCTCAGAGATTGCAACAGTTGCGTTCGAATCTTTAAGACAACGCACATCGTTATATCGTTAGCCTGGACATGACTTTCAGCCTAACGAGTGACTGCTACTCCAGGCCTATTCTGTAAGTTTTGTGCGATATTAGTCATTNTAGGATGTAGAAATAATATACTTACTTATTTCTGTTTTCTCTCCATCCATAGTGCCAAAAACGAATTTCTTCTACGGTTGTTCCTGTCATCCAAAGAGTAAGTAATGTACCACAGCCAGCAATGGTTCCAAATATTGCACCAAGGGCTGTTCCTACAAATATTGCTCGCAATCCTAAATGAAACCTAAAGAGTCCTCCTGTGACCGAACCAGCTGCTGTATATTCAATTACCGATGATTTACCACGATATACCGATATAAGGGTACTGATGGTTCTGTAAAAATATTTGTTAACATCTAAATAATCATCTAAAATGGCTGTATTCAAACATTTAATGTACTATTAAAAATCACTAACAAATAAGAGCAACAAAAAAGTCCAATGCGCGAGCCCCAGCGAATGCCTCCTCTGAAGAGGCCCAATGAAACGGTATCCTGCAGTTTTCTCTTGGCATCAATGTGGCTTTGAAATTGAGTGGCCTGATTGTTCTCTATAAAGTTTATAAAAGCTGTCCTAGAATATACAAATGCACCAATGCATCCACCCAGAAGAGTAGCACAACTGGTTCCTTGCACAATATTTGCTAATTCTGGGCTCAAATCCCCAAATTCGCTGTGAAAAAAACAAGTATGTAGTTTTTACCCTGTATTATGGTTACAAGATGTATAATACTTTATATTTTAAAAAATCCATTTAGTGACAAGTATTTACTTTTGGCTAAATACTCTCCTTAATCTGTCAGCACCTGTAAGTTCCATATTATCCGTATAAGATTCCTTTGAATCGTTTATGTTATCACGTTTGAAATATTCTACAGGAAAAAAACATAATAGATATCGAGTCCTTTTAGAAATGCACATCATTTTTGTTTCAACAATACTTATATAGTTTTACGTGTTAACTACTGGTCTGGTTCCACGCCAGAGTTAACCGGAGTATAATTGGTTTACAGCAGGTTTAAACGAAGTATAAACATGTTAAACTTTGGTTAACTTGAGTTGTATAGTAAAGCCTAATGCTCGATTTTTTCATACTCCCGGCAGGGTTGGGTAATTTCACGATTTTCGAGGTTTTTGCCACATATTACGTAAATCAGGGGGGTGACACTGCTGGACACTGCCATGTGTTGGGGTGAAACGCTCATGCACTACCGCCATCTTCGGTTGGAGTAAACCTTTTGCGCGAACTAAAATATTTGGCGGGCTATTCAAATTCATTTATTAAACGAAGGGATATTTTTGGGATTTAAAAAGTACTTGCAATGATCAAAACAAACGTTGCTTAAACTGACACACAAATGTAAGAAAACAGTGTATTAAGCATAAAAGAAGTAACAAAAGTGTCAGTGGCGCAACGCCTGTTTTAAATCATTGTAAGAACTGAAATAATTACANCATTCACAAACTCACGTTCGCGATTTAATACACAACGTAATCGAAACTGATCGAAACCTGTAAAAATATTCCCACCAATTCCCACTAATCACTACTAATCGAAGTTATGTTCGCGCCAGTTCACTCGTCCCGACACTTTTCATGCGCATCTGCGCTGTGTCGCTTCATATCCTGAAGTCTCTTGCTATTGGATAGAAAATGTTTTCTCTGTTCTTCTCTTTCTATTAGACTGAGAAGTCACGACACTAGCGCAGTCTTTGCTTGGAGTAGGTGAACTAACTTCAGCGTTACACCTCTCCCATAAGGAGTGTCACCCCCACGTAAATCAAGTAGTTTACGGTAGAAAACGTATCAAATATGGCGGACAAGACAAATGTAGGGTATGCGGTATTCGCTAGGTTATAAACATCTATCTTGTCGATTTGTTTCATTCCATAATTTACTTTTTGACCTTCCACCTTTATACATTTTGATATAAACATCGGTAACGAATCTTACGACGTCAAATAGCCGTTATCAGCTGTTATAAACAAACGTCAAATGCACGTACACTGGACTCCATCGATGGCTTGCTCCTGGTCCGCACTGCCCTCTCTGGCCGCGCAGCGTACCAGCGACGGGAACAGCGCGGAATTCGAATCGCTCAAGGGGCAGAATGGATTTCCTAAAGGTGTAGAACATAAATATATAACAGACATGAAATCATGATTCCGCTTCTATGTCCGGAAGTGGATGCATTGTAAATTTTCCTATAGCATTTCACTGTATATATATTAATAAACTATTTTTCTTTTTAAGCTATGATAATATCCTAACTTCGTTTCAGTGGAATATATATTAGTTTATTTTCCAGCAACAATACTATGAGATTTATTCAAACTACTATTTGTTCAGCCCTGATTATGCATAAAACATGTGATAAAAA